TGAGGACAGGAAAACTGCATCCCCAGACACAGAGAACCCATTCCATGCATCCAGTGAGCCTGACTGGTGTACTTCCGTTTTAGAGGCTTCGAGGCCATACCCGCTAGTGTTTTCTGCTGGGAGTAGCCTGCTTCTGGGCTTATGTCTCATTACAGGCAGGGGTGCACAAACTTTGGATGTGGTTTATATAGAGCTGGAATTGGAGCAGTAACTACCCTTGAATTCCCGAGCCTCTACATGAAAGCTTCAAGGCTTTCTTTGTAGCTTCACAAAGGCAGAGGAGAGCTCCAGCAGAGGGGCTCTCCCTACAGTTCTGGCAACTTGGGTGGTGTACACAATTAGGAAGCCAAGGAAAAGCCAAACAGCCAACCTTACTCAGTTCAAACACCTCACACATTCCCACCCGCGTTCCTGCAGGTATTTTTAGAATCCTGAGCTCATGGTGTTAAAGCATCTGCCACATGCCTGAGGGCCGACAGGGATTCAGCTTCACTCAGAGGCAAGAGTTAAGACTACTGGAGAGTGGGGGTGGGAAGTGGAGATCTGGAGCCAAGTGGAAATGATATTCCTGTACTGGGCCTGTGTTTCTTCCCCCTGACCTCCATCCCTCTCCCCATCTGCCTCTCTTTCTTCCTGTTCAGAGCACCAGAGAGGTAGAAGGAATAGAAATCATTTTTTTTTTGTTTCTGCTTATAGAAACAAAACAGTCTTTGAGGATTTTTGATTTTGTATGTAATCAAAGTCGGATGCTTTCTCTGAAATGTCTTTGGCAGATACCTGAGCTGTCTGTTCTAGTGGCTCAGGCCCAAACTGCTTTTGATCACCACCACCACTACTTCAGTGATGCACAAGTCAAAGCTGAAAAACACTGCCTACAGTTTAGTCAGCAAGAGACCAGCAGCGCGGCTGGAACAGAGAACACACAAATGTATTCTAAATGGAGATCCAAAGTGCAACCAAAATTCCTAAGAGAAGAGAATGGTAGAGAAGTTAGAAAAGATTCTCAGATGGGGAGAGTGGAGACAGGGCTCAGTGGTTAAGACCATTGGCTGCTCTTCCAGAGGTCTGGGGTTCCATTCCCAGTACCCTTATGGTGGCTGATAGCCATCTGTAATTCCAGCTCCAGGAGATCTGTTGTTCTCTTTTGGCCTCTGCAAGCACTGCATGCATGTGCTGCACAGGCAGAGATGCAGACAAAACATTAATACACATAAAATAGAAATAATAAAATAGTAAATCTTTAAAATTAAAAATAAAAAATAAAGCCGGGTGGTGGTGGCGGCGGCGGCGGCGGCGGCGGCGGCGGCGGCGACGCACGCCTTTAATCCCAGCACT